CCTAAAACGCAATCTGCTTCATATTTCTATTTCTGTATCTAGCTATAGCTACTTTCAAAACATCCGGGAAAATATAAATCACAGACCTTCCTTTAATATATATATATATTTTCCACTGAAAAAAAAAAAGCATCGATGAGCCAAGCTTAGCAATAGTTTCTAAATATTAATACCCTCCCCGCCCCAGATAACGATTTCATCTAACCAAGGGAAACCTAGAAGTGGAAGAAGTCTTTAAAGAGACTTTTCCCAAGGCTCCCGCTCCTCCAGGAGCCGCTTCCAAACGGAAAGAAATAGGCAAGCTCGGGAAGGGCATGCTCTTATCGCGATAGCTGCCGCGATACTGAGGCCAGCTACCTGGCAGATCCGCCCGTTGTCACCGCAGACCTTCTCTGCCCTTCCTTGAGGGGTGTTTGGGGCGGTTGGGTCTTTTTGGGGGGCCTCGGGACGGAGGTCGCACTCCCGGGATGAGCCGCTGCCCCCGAGGGGACAGGCTGAGAGAAGGGGACGAGCGCTTTGCCCACAAAGCGATGCTGTCCCCGCGGCCGGGAGGGCCTGTCCCCGTGGCAAACGTGGGGTAAACGTGGTGGCCGCGCGCCCCCTGTCGCCTGCTGTCCCCAACTGGGGAGGAGGGGGCATCCCGAGCCCTGCGCGACCCCCTCGGGGAAGCGGGAGGAGGTGGCACCTGCAGCCGCTGTGTCGCCCTGAGTGGCCCTGGCCACCCCGCTCCTCCCCTGTTTTGTGAAGCCCCCCTGAGTGGCACCTCGTGCCCCTCGCGGGGACCATCCACGTCCGGAACAAGGTGCTGGGCCGGATTCGCTTGCGATGCCTCCCGACATCCTCCCCTGTCCCGGAGCTTCTCCCTCGTTGTCTCCCTGGCCGTGGAGGGAGCCCAGGCTGGTTTTGTTCCCAATCCAGGCACGTCGTGTGTACCCCGGCGCGTAAGCCTCCCCTTTCCCAACGGCTCAGTGTACAGAGACCCTTGTCTCAAATCCCATGCATTTTAGTGGGGCTTTTTGTTCCTTTGGCATGGCCTGTAGCAGAAAGAAAAGACGTAGAAAGGGAGAAGTCACTAATTTTAGAAGAGTGTCCTCTGGATACTACAAGTACCATCAGTTCAAAGATCCTACCTGTACAGTTTCCCAGTCGGAGTTAACCTCAGTCATTTAGGGCAACCTTGTGCTTCTCGGGTTGTTACAACCCCATGAAGCAACTTCATGGACTTCCCCACCATCCAGGTGTTCAAGAGGGAAGTGTTGAAGGGTGGATCGAGCAGATCCTTGCAGGTGCTCCCACTGCATGTTCTGCAAAGTGGGATCACTCCTGACCAGAGGAAGGATCTGCTGAGTATGTGGAGTGGGAAACCGATGCACCAGGAGTGTTCAGGGGCCTTTTTTTTTTTTTTCTCCTTATGGAAGCTGCTCTTTCAGCGGCCCAGGGGTTCTCTAGCTGTTATTCTTTGCTTTTTTATTTTTTTATTTTTTATTTTTTATTTTTTTAATTTTCCCTGTTTTGCGGGTTGCTGAGGTCCACATCTACAGTTACGGTGGATGTGGTGCCAGAGTCACCTGGAAAGAGAAGGAGTCATAAAACCCTGCAAATCCAAAGATTTATCAACCACATTGTGCTTCTACTTCCTCCCTTGCTATTGAGAAACATTTGCAAAAAGCAATGGTTCTGCCTTGCAGAAAGACAGCCAAGACTCCAACTCAGTCCATCTCAAAGCCTCTCTGTCATCTGGAGAAAAAAAAATAGGGAAAATGCAGATGTTCTCCCTCACAGCCCTCCGGAATGACATGTAAATGCTCCTTGTGGGAGCCCTCTGCACCTTCATGCAAGTGCCCTGATAGGGAAATT